GTTCGATATGCCGTAGATTTTCGTGGTCTAATACCGGAATCCCATCAGCTTTTTCTCACAGACCTCTGCCCTGTATTCAATCGCATGGCTGTTGGTCCACCAGCGGAGAAAAATGAAGAGTTATTAGCTCTTTTACGAAATGGCTTAGTTGAATTTGCTTCGGCATCATATCCCAGGGTTCGAACGGATACGACTAGTGCTACTTTTGTCATATCATCAAAAAACCGAGAAGTTCACGCTGATGTTCTGGTGAGAGGTATGATTGAGAAATTTATTCCTCAACGAGATGAGTCTCCACTTATCGAAAACATGCTGAGACGAGGGCTCATTCGATCATTTACAAACGGTAATTTTCATCCCAGCGGCATTGATATAAACGGCCAGCAAAACCCGATAACCAACAAAGACACGTCTATTCCAAACATGTGGGCATTGGGCAACGTTTGCGAAGGTCCAAACTGGTATACGTATGTGTTGCCAAGACCATCAGTGAATTCACGAGCAATACACGATGCTGCAAAATGTGCGTTTAATATTTTTGACTATCTAACGAATCGTAACAAAAGTATTTTACAATAACTGGATCTTATTTATGTTTCATCAAAGATTATTTTTGATCAAGAAATCTATCTTAATTCTTCTTGGATTCTGAGGATAATTTTCAAAAGGTGTCTAAGTTTTTTCAAAATCTCAATTTCTAAATCTGTTAGCTTTTTCTTATGGGTACGTCTTCGCATCTTGGTCAAAACTTTTTTGAGTAATTCTTCCAGAAAACGTCATAATATTCTCAAAAACAACGGAACTACCGTTAAACTACATATATGAGCGGCTTTGAATGAAAAAAATTCCTAAAACTCTTCTCAATTTTTATTCTTCTTTTGTTTATAACCTTGTAATGTATGTACCAAAATGCATTAATTATTCACAATAAAATTTTGATTTTAGTACGATTTATTTTATTTTAAAAAATTGACTTTTTTTCTGATGTTTTTGAACCATTTACTTTCTTCTTAGACTTATACCATACCGCACGTACATCTACAAATGCATGCATAATAATCTTCTCTAACCAACGGTGAATATCGTTTGTCAAAAAGTACGATGATTATTAAGAAAAAAACATTTTCCCATTAATCAAACGTTTCGTTTTCTCAGCAAATATACAGCACGAAATTCTAAAAAATATCGAGACATATGCGCCTTTTCCTTCTCTATATTAGGCTATCAGACGCGCAACCCTACTTACACATTTCAAACACAAAATTTTCGATCTGAGAGCTGTATCGGACGAGAGTGTTCAGAACAACGAAACTAAAAAATCTCTGATAAATCTAAACGATTCTATGAGACGATCTACATCTATTATAGCCACACCAAAGGATACTGTAGTTTTTCAAACTTTCTTCATCTAAATTTGCATTGAAATGATACGTAATTACGAGCCGTTCTAATCCGGTAACATTACAACCTCTCGAAAGAAGTTTGATCTAACTCAAGTGCTAGTTTCACAGATACTTCAGACTTTGTTTCAGCTTGTAGAATCTTTTTAAGCGTTATCGACTCGAACTTTCAACGTGGAAAATCTCAAACAACAAATCAGTTTTTTGTTTTAGAGCTAAAATAAAATACATACAGAAAGAATAATAGTTTTCTCGAAAAAAATCAATTCTTCTTTAAGGAGAACCCATTAGGCTGTCGAGGAAAAGCTTAAAAAATCAGCAAGTTCATTAAAGTGTTCTTATTCGATTTTGCAAATTAACATATAAATCCAAACTTTTAGCTTTCAGCGTCCTTTACTACGAAGTTATGACGTTTCTTTCAAAGGACTCCCAACATTTTTCAATATTTATCCTTTACTCATATCTCTCAGAACTTTTTAATATTTTGACTATAACTAAAAAGCGACATGTGCAATTTTTCTGATCAGAGAATTAAAACTGAACAAGATGATAGATTTAAAGCAGATCTGTCGATGCAACTCCGTGCTAATGTACCAAGTTACTATCAAAAGTCATTATTTGTCCTTTTGAAGAGCTGAAAATTCTCTATAAAATGACCATAATAAACTTGAGAAAAAAATTGCAAGACATGACCAAAATGCAAAATACTTTATCTTACTACGCTTAAAAGCAGTCATTTAAAAAGCATGGTTCTTCCACAGAAAGTGGTCAGAAAATCTTTTTCACATGGCTGTAAAACGAAATTTCTCCATATTATAGAACTGAAAGTTATCTATAAAATGAGTATAAAACCTTACCAAAAACGTTCTGACATGTAGTAAAAAATGCAGAACTATTTGGCAATACGCAAAGAGAGAACGGTCTGAAAAAACGTGCGGTGAAAATGACATTTCTTTCTTCTATATTAGGGATCGGTGAAATAGTATGAGTGAATGAATGACTGTGGTAACTATGTGCAAAGAGACGAAAAGAGAACAGAAAAATATCTTACCAACGGTGTATATATAGTCCCTAATGTTGACCTTTTTTCCCGCTTCCTTCTCTCATTTACTGTGTATTTCTAGACTGAGATTGCCGAAAACCGCTCTCCTTGAAGAAGAGTTGGACCCTTAAAATATTTAACACATATTTAAAAGCTTCTGTTTTTATCATAAACAACTCATGAGAAGAGAAATGTAGTGTAGTAGTTTGAAGCAAAACCAAACACCCGTTTCGGAGATTTCTTGAGTTTACGTTTCAGCCAAAATGGCGAAAGGATGGTTGTGTGGAAACGCACATATCTATGGCGTCACGAAAAGTAGTTTCATTTTTTTATAGGCCGATATTTCTCTCTCATGGAGAGTTCTTGACCTAGGCGACAGATAAAAAAATTTAACTGCATTTCAGAGGAAACTATTTTAACTAGAAGTATGAAACTGGTATAAAATTCTATTAAAGAGCGTCTCAGGGCAAACATATGTAGAGAATTTGATAGAGGGTGGTATCTGAAAACTGCCAGATACAACATGGATTGGCAGGTCAACATCATCGACTATATATACACTATATAAATTTACACACGACGAGAGGAAGCGTCTTTCTGTCTTCAGAAAGTAAAACTATGGAGTACTCGGGAAGAGCAAAAGAACGTCTCTGTAACGTATTAATCGTGATAGCTGGTGGTCTCAAAGTTTTTGAGCCATTTTCAAAAGCAGAGGAGGATCATGTTACATCATAGTAAAAAGGTAAATTGTTTATCCGCTCGAATCGAAGGCTTTTTTTGATCGAAAGTATTTTTCTATTCGTGAATCTTTAAACTTGTTTGAAAATCATCATTGTCTGGTACATATGCTCGCACGAAATTTGAAGTCACTTGTTATTATGATCTATCATAGAATTCTCTTATATTTTGCAGGTCTGTATTTTGATGAAAAGTGTCTGATATGTCACTCTTTTAGGCTTTGTTAGTTGAACACTTTTCTTACTCTCATAAAGCTGTATACAACGTAACCTTTTACTCAGTGAAAAGCTAATAAAGAGAAAATAATATGATATATTGGTGAAATACACCGTTGAAGCAGAATCTTTCGTAATTTGTTGTCAATTTTGTTCGCTTTTCCATATATAGGAAAAGTTACAGATGGTAAGATACATTTCAAGATACGTTTTAACAAAGGCAAGTATACAAACACTTTTCCACAAAAATCTTGTTGAAAAAAGGAATCTTTTCTATGATTTTAATTCAAAAGACTTACTTTTTTTATAAACTGGTTCTTGTGTATAGAAGCTTATAATACAAATGATTCTATTACTGACCACGTTTCCGCATTCAGACAACGATCATGGGAGAGAAAAGACGGAGACTGATGCAGAAGTTTAAATAAGAATCTTGACTGACATTACAAAAATAAATTACAAGAATCTTAACTCAAACAATAAGAACCTTGTAAGAATATAGGCAAGAAAGTGAACAGATGTGTTTACATATAACCTACGTAAAGAAAGACAAAAAGATGGCCGCTTCACTCGAAGTAAAAGAACATAAAAAAACGTAAAAAGCCGCTAATATATATTGGCATATGAGGAGTGACAGTCATTTTTTCAGTCATACTAGGATTATAGGAAATAGACGTGAGTGAGTGCCCTACAAAAAAATATTTTGTCGGCACTGGTTATGCACGGGTGCGCACCGGTGCCGAATAATTATTTTTTCTGGGCACCGATGCGCACCGGTGCCGAAGTTTTGTTTTCAATCACCATTTTGTTTTTGACAATTTCTATCTATATTAACGCTACGATCTACTTCTAATATTTCGAATGTACCAGACAATGATGATTTTCAAACAAGTTTAAAGATTCACGAATAGAAAAATACTTT